AACTCAAACCTCCGTTTCTAAACATCTGCTGCGTGTGAACGAGGACTGTGTGCGTGAACCTGCAGCTGCATCGAACCTCTCAGAGAAAACGAAGCTTCAATTTTCCAGAGAAGTGACTCAGATCGCACAGAAATGATCGTCTTTGATTTGAAACTCATCAGTGATCGTTGCCTTCGCTTCATCCGGTGATTCGTCAGCGTTTAAAATCATAGTTTGGACGTTTTTGTTCAGAAGCTAGAAGATCGATGCCACTCTGCTGCTGGTCCGTTGGAATCGAGCACATTTCAGAAAACGATTTATGCCTCATCTTGCCTGAACCTGCGCATTATGACTGAACTTTATCAAACTCCTCCAACAGACTGATATCGATCTTCTCGTCTGAGCTGCAGCACAAAGAAAACCGTCAAACTATTCCTTTAAATGATTCGAGACCTGATCTTTTGTGCTCAACATTTATTTAGCTAAGATGTGCTCGTTTGGAATCTCTTAAAGGTGGAGTCGGTGATTCTAACTGGAGCCGATTTCAACCGAAGACAAAGTTCCTGAGCTGAAATGGAAGCTGGATGGTGTCAGACAGTTTGGATTCTGTCTCTTTGTGGTTGTGATTTATCCCTCTTCGGTGGCTCTTAATCTCTTTATTCTGACATCCAGGAAGAATCACAGACTCCACCTTTAACTGCAGCAGGTTCGTCTTCATCAGTTCATGAGAACCAGCTGTTGTTTCTTACCGTCAGCGCCTCGGCTCTCTGAGGAACCTACTGGAGTTTGAACACGTTTCATCAGTTTAAACGTGAAGTTTCCACTGATTACCGACTCTGACGGAGAACCAGCCAGAGGTTTACTCACATTGCTGACTCGGGTCCGACTCTGTTGTCATCTTGACGTAGTTGGTGGGCAGCAGGCCGGTGACTCCGCCCGCTTCCCCTTTCCACCAATCAGGGTTGGTCTTGTCCAGGATGTTGATCAGCTGACCTTTGGAGAAGCTCAGCTCGTCCTGATTGGCTGCAGCGTAGTCGTACATGGCGATGACCTGACACACTGACGAGTCGGAGGCGACACGAGGAGGTGATTAGACATCTGAAGCACATCGGTGACTCTGAGGAGCGTCGAACTTCACTAATACTGACAAGATGTGATGTCATGTTAAATGTACACATACAGCTGTATTGTAAATACTGC